GCAGAAGCCACACATAGAGATATGGACACAAGTCTTCAGGAAGTAACAGGTCTTTTATTTACACACCGATAGGGTCTCACACTGAACTTGTGTTCAAAAGGTATGAGCCCAGAGCATAGTTTGCACAGGCTATTTATTAACAATAACTCCTCCCATTCATAGCTCCACTCACACATACCCTTAGACCAATCAGTGAACAGGATATTCAGGATCACCTAATATGGGCAGACCGTATGACTCCTTTTAAGGACAAAGGAATGTGACTACAGTTGATGCACATGCTCAGTACATTGATGACAGTATCTTAGCTACATGTAACTAACTAACAGATACAATAAACACCTGTACTTGTATATGCCTCATGGAAATTTCAGGCCTACTAAATTTTGAACCATGTTGAAATCCCATCACAATACCATACGGTAAGCTCAATAGACTTATGCAATGGACGCTCCATTAGAGTAATAACAATAACGTGGCCACGCAAATAGTGTCATTTAAGAAATCTTCAGAATTAAAAAAACAAGAATTGTACATAAGTTAATATGTACAAATACAATAAACAAACTATTTTCACCCAGTGTGTGAATTGTCACTATGCGGTGGAGAACAGAAAATGTGGTTGAATATGATAAAAATGGGGCGTAAAAAAAAGACATTCAGCTATGAATAAACTAGAGAGCATCTCCTACATTATTTTATAAACCATAATAAATTATTTTATTATCTAATGCAATAATAGTAGGGTTTAAAAATTGTTGTATTGATGAAAATTGTAGTTAGTTTTCAATAAAAGTCTAGCTGCAGTGGGTTTGCAGCCAGCCAGCTTGCACTAGGTGACTCTGCAATATTAAATTTTTCACTAACCTTGTGGTTGCCGTCAATCAAAGCTCAAGGGCAGTAGGAACACTAGGAACACATGGGAACATAGTTCTCTTGCTACATTAGAAAACGAATGGTGTTCCATCTCTACTGTTGTCTCCCTGTACTTTGCATTGTTGTTTAAACAAGAAATTAGTTTTTGCAGTCTAAACAGGAGATTTATCAATGCAAAAACTATACCGCAGTGCAGGCTTGTTTGTGCTTCCCCCTCATTTTCCTCTCATCTGCCAGCTTTTTTTTTTTTTACAATCTTTTTTATGATTTGCCAATTTGGCTCCTGTACTGTCATTTACAGTATACTCTGTCCTATCTCTTGCAAGTTTCAATTTTAATTGTATAGTCGTGAATCCCACTGCGTATGGAAATCTCTTGGAGTTCTCTCTGTTCTGTTTGACCTTATATTCATAGAATATTAAAAAAAAAGTATTGCAGGTTTTTTTTTTAGCATAACCTCACCTCTTTAGCCACACCTCCTCTTTTCACAAAATGTCTTCCTGATTGCAAGTATTCAGGTATATACTTAGTCCAGCCAATGAGATATCAGAGGACATGACTCTGCCCCACAGCCAATCACTGACCTCTTATCTGCGATTTCTTCTTATTATGACTTTTGCTGTACAGATATTAAGAGGAAAGTGATTGGTTCTGGGATAGGGACAAGTCAGCAGCACGGCTCACAGTGATCATTGGCTGAGCTACAGTTCGTACCTTCTAATTAAGAAGATATTTTGTGAAACGAGAGAGTGGCTTAGAGGGCGGGTTTATGAAAATGTATTTATACCTGTACTCTAGTTATATAATGAGCAGAAGGACAGTACAGGCAAATAGGTCATTACAAACAAATGAAGTATCTAGTAACATGTCACTTTGCATACTGTAAAGAAAATAACTGGATTGAAGATTTGTAAAATATAAAATGTAGAGATAGGTGCAATAGAGGGACAGAGAAACTGAACTGTGGTTCGTAAAGTGTAAAAAACTACTTTTATTCTTTTTAAAGAGCATAAAATTCCATCTTTACATTTTGCTCGTAGTTTTGCTTGCAGATGCATAGATTGGGTAATAACCCTATTTAAATAGGTTTTCTTCCCACCTGTCAATCAATAGACTCTATGCTAAAGAACTAATTGATAAGGGAGGAAAGTGGCCTTCTGGTCTCCACCAAGAGGGAGCATAGCGCATGAGCTGTGGTTGTTATGGTAATTCCATAGCTGGTGTTGCTAGTGATGGCTAGGGAGTATAGGAATGGAGTGGCTGATATCACTACATTCAGATGCCAGTAAGCAGGTAACAAAGCCAGGGTGTCTGTCAGGGATGAGATATTCCCTGTTTATGGTAGTGGTCTCCATCAAGAGGGAGCATAGCGCATGAGCTGTGGTTGTTATGGTAATTCCATAGCTGGTGTTGCTAGTGATGGCTAGGGAGTATAGGAATGGAGTGGCTGACATCACTACATTCAGATGCCAGTAAGCAGGTAACAAAGCCAGGGTGTCTGTCAGGGATGAGATATTCCCTGCTTATGGTAGTGGTCTCCACCAAGAGGGAGCATAGCGCATGAGCTGTGGTTGTTATGGTAATTCCATAGCTGGTGTTGCTAGTGATGGCTAGGGAGTATAGGAATGGAGTGGCTGACATCACTACATTCAGATGCCAGTAAGCAGGTAACAAAGCCAGGGTGTCTGTCAGGGATGAGATATTCCCTGCTTATGGTAGTGGTCTCCACCAAGAGGAAGCATAGCGCATGAGCTGTGGTTGTTATGGTAATTCCATAGCTGGTGTTGCTAGTGATGGCTAGGGAGTATAGGAATGGAGTGGCTGACATCACTACATTCAGATGCCAGTAAGCAGGTAACAAAGCCAGGGTGTCTGTCAGGGATGAGATATTCCCTGCTTATGGTAGTGGTCTCCACCAAGAGGGAGCATAGCGCATGAGCTGTGGTTGTTATGGTAATTCCATAGCTGGTGTTGCTAGTGATGGCTAGGGAGTATAGGAATGGAGTGGCTGATATCACTACATTCAGATGCCAGTAAGCAGGTAACAAAGCCAGGGTGTCTGTCAGGGATGAGATATTCCCTGCTTATGGTAGTGGTCTCCACCAAGAGGGAGCATAGCGCATGAGCTGTGGTTGTTATGGTAATTCCATAGCTGGTGTTGCTAGTGATGGCTAGGGAGTATAAGAATGGAGTGGCTGATATCACTACATTCAGATGCCAGTAAGCAGGTAACAAAGCCAGGGTGTCTGTCAGGGATGAGATATTCCCTGCTTATGGTAGTGTCCTCAAGCAGGGCAAGCCAGTGAAGACTGTGGGAGGAGTGGAGGACAGACTGGAGGTGGGTGTTACAGAAGTGCAATACCCACGTCTGTAAAGAGATACCGGCGCGGGATTGTGAGGTAAGCAGTACTACAGTATTCCCTTTAAATACATGTATGACAGAATGGCCTAAAGAAGATGATTACAAAGTACCCACCCAAGTATCTACTGTAGGCCCCTCATTTGGAGGCATATAGTGGTGGGTGGAAGGATGGAACAAGGTTGTGCAAACCCGGGAGCAGCCATATCCCAGGAAAACTTTTTTTTTCTTCATTTATTTATTTATTGTTTTTTTTTAAATTTAGTACGTGAAAAAACAAAAAATTACATTTACATACAAAGACACAAAGGAGCATACATAGATTGTTCCGAGACGTGTACCACATCAATACTATTACACAATGTTATAGCTCTCCAAGAATTATACTTCAAACATACAAACATCAGTAGAGGTGAAGGTGCCGGGAACCGAATGTCCCTCACTTCCAACTATACTCATATACAAATATACAAACATTGAAGTTGACATTTCTTTCTTTATTACTCATATTATATTTTATGCCGGTCTTAATTCGTAGTAGATTCTATCCCAGGAAAACTTTACACATGAATCGGTATCAATGCAATTAAACTACTACTACATTTAAAAAGAAATCTAATAAAACAAAGAAAGATAAAAGAAAAACCCAATACCTGTTTCCAGCAAAGAATGAGATTGATACTTTGCGGGTAGTTGCAGAGTTTCTGTATTGTGAAGTGGAGACAACGCAGCAGCAGCTTGGTTGCAGGTGACTTTCCCGAGATACCAGCAAGGAGGTGTGTTGCTTTTTCTGACCAACTGGAAGGCAGAGTTCCAGTTGAATCCTATACTTTGAATTATATTGCAGTGCAAAAGCACTAATTTTAATCTGGATACCAAATACATCCGAGCGATGCTGCATATTTGCTTGTGTCCACCGAATTACAACCGTATTTGGCTTTAGTAAAAATGAGAATTACCAGTGCAGTCAGAATTTGGTCATTTTCACTGGATTTTGTCCATCCAGACAAAATGTGTTTATTGAATAATCCTGTATAAGTACCAAAGCAATGTTGGCTTAATGGAGTGGTTTTGGTGTAAAGATTATTCTGCTCAATTCTATGCCATTCAGAAGAAACACCACTATGTTTATGAAGCCCTAGCAACACCTCCCTGCATGTGACCTACACAGTCTCCCTACACATTTCCTGTAAAGAGAAATCTTGTGTTTAAACTTCCTTTGATGCTTAAAGTATCCCTTTAAAGGAACACACCACACACATAAAGCAGTTCATATTAATGTGTCTGGAGATTGTCACATTTGTGACAGTTTATAAAAGTACTAATTTCAATACAAATATACACTTTTAAATTGGGGGAAGAAACACCTCCCTGGCTGACTGCCATCCATGGAGGTTTTCTTCGCCTTCTATTTAGGTTTGTTAATATATATGGAATATATCACGAATAACAGTAATATTACGTTTACATATAAGCAGCATGGTGATATATACTGCAAATAACAATTGGTTCAGATTGAAACAATATGACATATTATGGTTTAAAGAGAAAAATATAGTATTAGAAAATAGTAATAGTATTAGGAAGCACACACTGTCTAAAGTTACTAAGTTATACGTCATATCCCTTAACATTCCACTGACTCATGTCTTGGGTGTAAAAAGATGGCTTAAGAATAGGGCACACAGACATACTTCCAATAGCAAGATCTTATGCATTGCCATATTAAAGAGACAATAAAATATTGTGCTTTGTATGTGTGTTACTAAGTCATATGCCATAGAGAAGGACTGAGTAGCCAACTATGAAAAAAGTGAAAGTGTGAGAGAAATGAAGCAGAGGATAGAAGAAACGAGAGAAAGAAAGGGTCCCGATACAATATGGGACATGAAAAGAAATAGCCTGCGTGAAAAACGAATGGTATGCCCCGGTGAGCAAACAGAAAGTTGGCCAAGGCAAACCAGAAGATCTGAATCCTAGCATGAGCAGTTAGTGGGTTATCACTTCTCAGCACAAGATAGTGAATCCTGTCTAGGGGCAGGTTTGTTCCACTAGAATCAGAAAAATTAAGTACAAATTTTAAAAATAATCATAAATAAATATTCAACCTCACCCTTCCCCCCTTCCCCCTCCCCACCTGCAAAAGAGGCAATGGCACCATGCAAGAGCCAAGCAAACTATATGCACAAAAGATCATCAGTGGCACAGTGGTCACTTTGGAAACCCACTTGACCAGTTCCAAAGGAATCCCTGGTAAGCAGCCCCCTGCACCTCCATTTCGGCAATAAAGTCCCACCTTAGCTGCAGGTCTGCCAGAGGCCACATCACCCTGGACCAGCAGGGCTCTCAGCAAAAGGGACACTCTTCGGTCCTCTTAACAAGACCCGTAGCTGGGGACCCCTGCAATCCATCACCAAGCACTTACAGCAACTTGGTAACAAGTTAATGTAATCTAGGAGTATAGGTAGGTAGCAGATGTGGTCTCTCAGTCTGTCTCTCTGATATACTTCTAGTACCAGAAGCATAAATAAGAGAAATAGGGCATAGCAGTTTCACATTTCATCATATTGGGGGGTGGGGAGCAAAATTAAACTGAACTTTTACTTGAGCATAAAGACCTCTAGCGGTCAGAAATAAAGGGGGTAGAGGGGAGAGTTGGATGGGGCTTCTGTTGCTCCATTTGTTCACAGCAATATCGATCAGAAGTGGAATCATCTTGCTACGAGAGTATGGCTTCTCAACCAAATTACAGGTCTTGCAGTGAGCAGTAGGCCAAAAAGGTTGTAAACGGAGTTCGCAAAGGATAAACTTCACAAAAACTTATCAAAATGTTGCCGGAGGATTATGTATATGCCAAATAGCAGTGGTAAATGATAAGCACAGTTGTAAATAAGCAGGATGGCAGCAGATTATCAGGCTCAACATCAGATCTGTGAAATATTTTTCCTCTTCATTTTTCAATGTTTTCCCTGGCTTTACCTTGTCTGAACTGAATTATTATGTTGCTTCCTAAATCTTTAATATAAATCTAAAAGAAATAAAAGTTAAAAGTAATTTTCAATGTTTTATTCAATGGTGCAAATTCCAGAAAAGTAACAGTTCCTTTTTGAATGCATACACAATATACACATTACAAGAAAGGATTGTAAACAGTGTTAATGAGTTTATGTTTATCAGGCACTGCCTTCTTTGCAAAGCCCTGAGCAAAGGTTGAAGTTGGATGGTGGCTTATGGAAAGATAAGATTACAAATTCGTTTACATGGAAATATTTGTATAACATTCACACAAAGCTGTATTTTACAGTGTTCCACGTAGAGTTTTGTTTTAAATCTATTTTTATTAAGGTCAACATAGTAAGCAGTTTTCCCACGCAGGGAGTATAGCGTAAACAATGCATTCGTGGAAAAACTTGAGTAGTTAGAAATCTTAGACTTAAGTCATCTCTGTAAAGTCGAATACTATGCTCTTAGGGATTCCTTGCAAAATTATAACATTAACATAACGGTCGGGTAATGTGGACCTAACGGAGTCTAAAATGTGTAACCAGAATTAAAGCATAGATATTTAGTGTGTTGTTAATGTGTGTAGCACTTACTTACAGACCGTGATATGTTATAATTGTTTTTGTGTCCGTTCTGTGAATTCTAATACTGCGCACTGTTCATGTGCGGCATGAAGCGTTTCGTTAGGTTTCTGGTTGCTAGTGTAGGAACTACCAACTTTTGTATTAAGTGTTAGCATTGCGAGTAGAGCGCTGTGTATTTAAAGAGTGGACACAATTCTGTACTAGTCTGCTATTAAGTAAGCACCGAACTTTACATAGCTCAAAGGGCGTAGTGATTTCTAAGTTCAGTGTGGGCCTGTCAGTGTACCGCCTGTTATGATGCAGTCAGCCATTATGTACCCAGCAATATACAACATTTATACCGTTTATGATTATTACAATATTACTAAGAGCGGCAGGCGGCCTGTGTGTAAATGATTGCTTGGTCAAGTTACAAATGCATATCTTTAAATCATGAGCAGGTATAGCATTAACGTCTGACTTCAGCGGGGTAATGTAGTAAAAACATAGAGGGCGGGTCCTCCTAGCTGCATCTACTCCCTATGTTTTATCCTAATGCAGATTAATTTACGAATGCATATCTTTAGCAATGTGGTTTCATAAGAATAGCTTAAACATGACACATTTACGTTACGTATAAATGGCAATGGTAACAGAGCAATCAGACAGTCAAGAAATTAGAAATGAGAGCCCTGTAACAGCGCCGAATTTAGCTTTAGCGGGTAGGGCAGCTGTAGTCTTATTAGGTGTAGAAAAGGTGTTTAACATAAGCAATAAAAATAGTTACAGAAATGAAAAGGCATTCAGCTCTTCTGATATCGTTAATGGCAGGCAGTATGCAGCTGTGAATTGCCTAGCCTGCGTTTATGTGTAGCTTAGGGTAGCGCTAAGTCCTAATCATACTTTATGGGCGTTTAGCTAGTGTAATATTTATTCTCCTGATTGTGGCAGCTGATTTTGGTCCAACCAGTTAACGGCCAGTCACTAGCCTAAAGTGATATTTGCTAAAATAGTGACCAGCTGAGACGAACTGTAGCAGGGCTCGAAGGTACACCTCGCAACGTTTAGTATAACTATAGCGTTTACAACTGTATAAGAGCAGGACTGTTCGTAGTGTTAGTCCGATAAGGGCCATCCATGGCTTGGCCGTGTTGCATCTCCCGGGACGCCGGATCTCCGTCAGTCTCCCCCAGGACGCTCGGGGGCAGAAATGATCCGCTGGACCCCCACACCTAGGGTCCGTGGGCCTCTCGCTCCCTGCACCTCCCCATCACCGCTCCAGACCCAGTGGAGGTTGTGTCCCATTGTCTCTCCTGGTGCCGGCCTCACACTTGGGGCCGGTGCATGCCACTCCCGGCCACCGGTCCGCCGGGAGGGTTGCGCAAACCCACCCCACAGGGCTCTGAGCTTCAGGGACATGGCTCTCTGAGGACCTCCCAGACACAGAGGCCCGGGCACTCACTTTTCCTGCGGGTCGATAGGCATCGCGGGGGGTCCAATGGGGGCCCAGCATCACCGGTGTCCGCCCCGGCCATCCGGGTCGTCTCCCCTCGGTTAGTTGTCTCCTTTGGTGTCTTTGCACTCCTCTTTCAATGATGCCCTTGAGGAGAAACCATGCCAGCTCCTATGCTTCTGTGTCGGCTTGAGTCTTCTCTGTCCCTGCTGGGATGTGTTCACCGTTTAGGGGATTTCTCCTCGGTGTTAATGTCCAGTACTGCTGGCTGGCCGTCTCTTTGCCATTGCCAGTTAAGGTAGTCGGCATGGTGTCCACGTGGGGGCTACCGCTGTGGTACCTGTCTCCACCATGTGGCCGGGATATCCCCCGCCGGCCAGGGGGGGAGACGGGGCCGTGCCGCAGGCCAGGGGTCTCCCCACGCCAAGAATGCTCGTCTCTCAGCGGGATGGCTCTGTATTGTGCCAGTTCACCGCAATGGCGGCCGGTGCTCTGAGGCCGCGTGTAGGCCGGACCCACTCCTCTCCACCCGCCCGCCTGCCTCGCGGTCTGTGTTGTTCGGGTGGGGGTCACAGCTTTCCCCCTTTCTGGTGTGGCAGGTTTTGCTTGTTTGAGTGGGTTTGGGCTCTGTTTGGTGCAGTTTCTAGCGTTTTGTTGCTGGAGCCCCTGTGAATGGCGTCCAGTCGGCCCGGCCCCGCCCCCCCGTGTTCCACGTAGAGTTTTTGCAAATGCATCAGTTACACATTTTTATAAAATCTATTGTGTAGGTAATTTTTTTTTTTAAAGAGCTAACATTTAAGATTCTGGATAAGTATGTACAAAGTACAAAAATATTTACAAAATTAAATACCAAGAACTATTTTGCGGTTTTGTGTACACAATGTTATAATTCAATTAATATAATTTTACAGGAACACTCCAAGCACCAAAACAAATACAAATGAAGATGTTATGGTGCCAGTAGACCCCAAGAGGCACTCTTACCTCAAGGGGTTAAACCTTTCGAGAATGGTTTAACCCCAAAGTTGCCTCCAGTCTCCAATCCACCCTGGCGGCTTCCGGCTTCTGAATTTTCAGATTTAGGAAGTGCAGAGTGTCGCTGGGCAAGGGTTATTGGGGAGTCAATGATTGGCTGAGAACATCAGATGACCGCTATCAGCCAATCAGTGGCATTCGCTAAATTGGCTTCCAAAGAAACTTACCTTATGCAAACCAGTTTAGTGATACCTCATCAAAGGCAGATACAGTGTGAGCATCACATTTTTTTTTTCTATTGTTGGCAAACCAACCTTCAATTGAAAATTAGTTTTGCTGTTAGTTATCTGTAAGCAGTTCACATACAGAAAGATAAAAGCAAAACATGCACACTTCTATCTCTTACCAGTAGGGTTGTAGAAGCCCATGTACTATGCGTACAGCACTGCGAGAGTTAACAAATTTGCATATTATACCTGTCTTTGCCAATAGTATTAGAAAGCACCTACTGTCCAAAGTTACTAAGTTATACGTCATATCCATTAACATTCCACTGACTCATGTCTTGGGTGTACAAAGATGGCTTAAGAATAGGGCACACAGACATACTTCCAATAGGAAGATATTATGCATTGCCATATTAAAGAGACAATAAAATATTGTGCTTTGTATGTGTGTTACTAAGTCATATGCCATAGAGAAGGATTGAGTAGCCAACTATGAAATAGGTGAAAGCGAAAGACCATAAAAAAGTCCATAGCTATAAGTTCTTTAGGTTTATCCACCTCCCGCAAGTGGTGCGCTAGACGGCTCCCCCCCACCCCTTCGCCCCTATCGTTTTCTCAAGTTCATTCTCAATCTCTACTTTTCTTCTCTTGATGACTATGATCAACCTTTCAACGTAGGGGCAAGCGTAATAAACATAGGAAATGAGAATAAAAATGTTGACAATCCGGCCCTATGTTTAGCCTATATGGGCCGCTCTGACCACCAGATCTTCCTACCCATC